TAGAATGGTTTAGGTTGGAAAGGACCTTGAAGATCATAGAGTTCGAACCCCCCCACCTTGGGCAGGGACACTTCCCACTAGACCAGGTTGCCCAAGGCCACGTCCAGCCTGGCCTTGAACACCTCCAGGGATGGGGCATCCACAACTTCTCTGGGCAACCTGTTCCAGTGCCTCACCACCCTTAAAGTGAAAAACTTCTTCCTAATGTTTAATCTAAACCTGCCCTCTTCCAGTTTAAAGCCATTCCCCCTCGTCCTGTCACTACATGCCCTAGTAAAAAGTCCTTCTCCAGCTCTCCTGTAGGCCCCCTTTAGGTACTGGAAGGCTGCAATAAGATCCCCCCGGCTGCTCTAAGCTTCACCTTCCAGACCTTCACCTCTGCACGTGCTCTCCAACACAGACTCTTAGATGAAACTTCGGCATTGCTGTCCTCTTTGGACAGGAAACAACTATTCCCTCCTGCCATCCCCATGTCTTAGCCACAGCTCAGGATCGTTCCCCTGAGCAGCTGTACCTCAGTGCTGGCTTCAGGGACCAACCACACCTATCTCTTTGTAAGGCAAAGTCACTATCTACCAGGGCAGGACTCACAGATGAGGCTGGGAAGTGGATCCCAGAGGAATCTAACCACTCAGGCCACAGGCCCTTTCTCCTCACTCACAGGACAGACCTGCTCTGAGTCCAGAGAGAATTCACTTTACAAGGACAATTCTTTCCATTCAAGTGCCTAGTTCTCACAGGCGCTTATCTTCTTCCCTTCTCTCTTTTTTCCATCTAAAAAATTATTTGGAAAATACATTTTTCTCTTCAAAAGGAGGCTTACGACATTGCTTCGGACCACTGACATAATTTTTAATATGGTCCCTTTTCCTATTTACTCTCCATTGCCTTCTTGCAACAAGATATAGCCTGAACATCTTGCCTTTAGAATAAAGGACATCTGATGTAAATACAGAAACAGAAATGGATGAACAGCTAGTTCAGGGAGTGGCCGGTGAAAAACGGAAGAACAAGGGGTTTTCACAAGCGTAGTGCTTCCAGGAAAAGAAAGATAGACAGACTTCTCTGTTTGGGGAGAAGATCAAAGATATAGGTATGTATAAGGTCGATTTGATGAGTGATGTTATTTGCAGCTCAGAAGGTGATGAAAAAAGGTCCTTTTTAAAAAATCTAGGCTCAGTGGAGCTGGACTCTTCAAAAGCAACAGTGTCTAATTTTTAGAAGGGAAAACAGAATTACTGGGTCATTGACAGTAATCGCTGGGACTCTGCTTTGCTTTCCTCTGCCCTGTGTTGAAAAAACACGTGTGTGGTGGGACTCCTGAATCTTCTGGTTATCTTGACCCTAATTTACAAAGAATAGCAGTGTTTAGTCAAAGATCTCAGAAGATATTCCAACCTTTCTGGCAGAAGGATATTTATATAGGAGTTGACCTTGGCACAAATGATGTAGGAATGGTGAAGCTGGATTTAGTCAACCCTTAACACAAACTGCTACAGGATGCATTCCACAACGGAGGGTTGCAGCTGTGACACGGATAGAAAAACCCTCCTTCAGTCAAAGCAGCACTGTGTTCGCCCCTAACATGATCTGCTGCCTCTGGTAACTAGCAGTTTGTAACCCCACCCTTGCAAAGCCCATTTTACAACACCCACTGTCAAACAATTTGGAGTTTTATGTAGGTACAGGACAGGGGGAATATAGTAAAAACTTTGATTAACTAGAATTGCATTGGAAAAGGTCTTAAGCCACATCAGATGCCCCTAAACAAAACAAAAGGAATCAGCCAATATTTTTTATCTCCATGTAAGCTTGTATTTTCTTTTAGAACATAACTAGAGTTATGAGTTTTAGACCTCTAACTAGTTATAATAGGATTAATATTATGAATACAATTCTAGTAATATGATTAAGAAAATGACTAAAAATAAAGATAACTTCACAAGACTCCATGTAGCTAGAACTCTGATTTCATTAAGAAGATAGTACTGAAAAAATTATTTAATTTTCATTTTCAAAGCAAAGAAATTCTAAGCTTCTCTAGCTAGCGTGACTCACAAGACTAGCAAATCACACAGACTTTTTATAATGTGTCCAAAGTGGAAAACCATTACATGACAAATATTATCCAGAATTATTATTGTGTGCTTTAGTTAGCTATTTTTTATTTCTTCTACAGCAATTAATAGCAAAATGCTTCTGAGCTTTTAAGTGAAATTGATTTAAGTGGCTGAAGAAGTTTTCATTTTGCAATGCTGTTTATTTAGTTATCCAGTTATCTTTGAGGTGCTCTCCATAATCTGAAGAGCTAGAAATTGTATACTTAGGTAATGACTCTCTCAAAATAAACGTATGCATTCAAAAGGAGTATCAGCAAAAAATAAAAACAAATGGAATGGAAAAATCTTTAGGCCAATTAAGCAGTTAAAAAAAAAAATTAATTTAACTTTTACTTCCTAACTTTATTTTTAAAAAAAAAACTTCTTTTTTGAGGAAGTATTAGAAAATAACATTTAAAATGTTTACTTAAATCTTTCATCCACTCTCTTTTATATGCTGTACATATGCTTTCATTCCTGCACACTCCTAGACATTGCACTTCTGGACAAGAATGGATAGCCCAGGGAAGTTTTAAAGATGTTTCTCGCTCAAGTATCTGAACGAATTATCAAGAACCACAAGAGTGTTACTTGGTTCTTTCAAGGCATTTCCAGACAACTTTGCAACGGGTTGCAAACCCGGAGTGCTAATGAACTTACAAAACCATCAGGCCTGAATGGGAACACAAATTGTACCATGCCTTCGAGTTTTTTTGAATATAACCACTCTTAAATCTTTGCAATTAAAGGATATAATATGCCTGTGAATTTATTTTGTTCCAAGTGCAACACACAACTGAAAATATTCTGAATGTCACTAGTGGAACAATATAAAAAGATGGTCTTGTACCTTACGCAACTCAAAAAGATATGTAAATAATAATTTTATCTTTAAATACACAGCCTGCATTTTAAGTTCCTGAATCAAATTTTTATTTTATGGCTTGCTTTCAGTAAGCTTAATAGGAGTATCTTACATAGTTCACAAAATTCTTTCAAAATGCACCTTTTTTTTTAATATTCTTGTCTCAGAAATATTTTATGTAGGTCATCGCAGTCATCTCTTTCTTAGAACATATAAATCTTTACTATGCTAACTTTGTTATGAGCATGATCTATCAATGGATTCTTGATGAAATTTAATACATTGCATTAAATTCCAAATCCTAAAGCTAGCTGCTTCTTACTTCACATGCTGAATGCAAAGCTGTTTTGCTTAGTACATGTTTGACTGTTCGTAATTCACCTGAGGAAACAGACCAAACAAGCCAAATTCTTGACTAAAAAAACCTGTGCAATTTCAGGAACTGAATGGTGTTGCACACATCTGAACTCAGCGTCGGTTATGCCACTGACTCATGCTTCCCTTGTCAAGTGAAGCAAGTCTCATACAAGTTACCTGGATACCCCAAGAAGGGAGTCTTAATTTAGTTTTACCTGCTTCATGTCCAGTGGTTTCATCCCACTGAAACACAAACTTTCTAGACTGTTCTTCTTACCCATTTTTAACTTGTATTCTTATGCGCGTTCCTATTTTACTGCTTAGTGGATGTCATAAATAGTAACAGAAGACATGAGATATTTGGGGACTGGAATAGTGAATTTTGGCTCCTCAGTGTCCTCAACACTAACTTGCTTTCATTTTTTATGTCATGATATATTTACTTTCAAACCACATCAATTTCAATGGACAAAACAAAACAAAACAAAAAAAAAAAAAAAGAGGAGCTGTATGTGAAATGTTTAGCTAGGTTTAATTTCCTTCTTGTGTCTGCTGAATTTTTACAACTTAATGAAAAAATATGAAACACAAGTAACGGAAAAGAGATGACCCAATCTCACTATCACTTCATGAACCGGAGAGATTTTGTTATGTGACAGTATGATCATCACATGCAAGAGCTTTTATCCACAAGTATGAAATAACTGTGTTATCCTACCACCTTGACAAATTCCATTTATATTACATTTTCCTCAGGAATCAAAAAGAATAGTGTATAAAAAAAAAAAAAGAAAAACCTAAGAGTTTAAGGACCAGCTGCTTCTGTTTAAGCCCAACTGTTTCAGTATTGATGCAGCATAGCTAGGGCATGATGTCATCTGAAGGGCCAGCAGAATATACCCTTGTTGATTTTAAAAATATGTAGGGGTCTAGCCTCTCCTCTCTGAGTGTGCATAATTCCCATCAGTGGGGAGGGGAGTTGCTCACACGCAGAAAAGAAGAAAAAGTATACTAAATGACTACAGTGGATAGAGAGGTGTGTGAGTTCTACTAATGAAAGAGACAACTATTTTGTTAATATTTATTTGTTCTTGCTACAACATAGCAGATAGTTTTAAAAATTGAAGAGAAGAAAGAATAGTCTTCTAATGCTTCCTGTTTGTTTTTATATGACCCTATGGGGATGGAAATCATTCTTTTATTCCAGTCCTTCCGTTTTCTCTCTCCATCCATTCATCCAACCATCCATCCACCCCTTCCTCTCCTTCCTAGTTCTATGTTTCGATATGCATGCATAAAGGTATTCATATTGTATATAATTTACTATATATTTAATAGAAGCTTTTCTTGTTTTAAAAGCTTCAGGGAGAAGAAAATAGATGTAATAAAAGCTGCAGCTTATAAACAGAAGTACAATACACATGTTCACAGGCACACAGAAAGAATAATGACATTTATTATCTAGCCAGTCACTTAAGAGGATGGCACAATATATATTATTCTGAATGCCAAGCAACAATGAAAATCTTAAAGTGATAAAACTCTCTCAATGTCATGGGAACACAATTGTCACTTGTCATTACTATGCATCTCTCTATTTCTTCATATATCCTAAACTGCCTATTCTTACATAATTCAACACATTTAATAATGTAGAAAATCAATTAATATTTACTGACCTGTCTCTGCTTCTCCGTGATGGGAACGCAGCATTACAGCCAGCCACTGTGCAGACATGCATCTCTTTTAAATGAACGTTTCTGTAGTGAAGCTTCACACTGTAGGAACTCTTGAAACTTTTCTTGCACACATAGCAGATCTTGGGGTCTGGGCTGGAGCACATTTCACCTTCTGGGGAGAACTTCTGAGGGCTGCTGTAGTTGAATGTAGAAGCGAAACTTTCATGAAGCGCAGCCATACTGGCACTGCCTCCATTGTACAGTCCATATTGGCTCATGTAGAACATATCATATGTAGGGTCTGTATACTCTTCCTTCACTTTAATGACATCCTGGTTGGAAGAGTCATTGTGGTTTTCATCTGGTCTGTCACTGTGCATCATAGATTTTTCACCAGGTTCGTGGAGGCGATCATCGCCTTCCATGGATTCCTCACACAATTTGGGTTCTGATGACTCTGACTCATTTTCATAGTCTCTCTCGTGCTCCTGGTCTTCTGATGTCATGCTGTCTGCCCTTCTTATGTCTGGTCTGGAAATGCATCTGCTTCTGTCACTTTTGGAAAAGTCTTTCACGGACAGGCCTGGGCTCATTTCCTCCTGAGAATGGCAGTGATTGTCATGACCAATGTCATTCACCATCGTGCTGCTGTCATTCACCTCTTCGTCTTCATCATCAAACTCATCGGCAGTATCTATAACTTCCTTTTCAATTTTAACTGGCATGCTCGACTTCCTTGGCTTCTTCTTGGGGGCAAGGTCAGCATTAGGTTCTGGGGTAGGCATCAGCACTGAAGGTACTGACGACTCTGAAGGAGGAGGGGGATGCTGCTCCATGCCACTCACTGCTGGTATTATTGGACTGGTAGGGAGTGAGGTTGGAGGACTCACCATCTCTCCAGGAGTAAGTAAATTTCTGTAAAAAGGAGGAACAGGTTGGACAGTCTTTAAAGCTGGGAACACCAGCTGACTGGGAAGAGGGTTCTGTAGTACAGGATCTAGAGGGGGAGTGGTAAACCCCATCGGTGGACGCCCAGGGCTTGTTAAAGTTAGGTTGGATTTTGTACTTGCTATGACTGGAGTGGCAGCACCTGATGTAGCACGAATTAGATCTTTGTCGCGATTATTCCTTAGCATAGGCATGTGGAGGCGAGGATTGGGGTTAGCACTGTGGCGATTGCGGCTTCTGAGAGAGCTGAAGACCATGTTGCAGCCCTCAATAGTGCACCGGTGCTTGATTTTCAGGTGAACGGCATTGTAGTGGATTTTAAGAGTACCTTTGTCATAGAACGTTTTGCCACATGCATTGCAAAACACTCTTCCTTTCCTGGAGGCTGACCCCATTCTCCTCATTCTGTGAATGCGGAACGAGCTTTTAGTGTGTTCTGTTTTCGATAAATCATTGACAGGCGTAGGTGTCTGCACAGGAGAGACACAGGCTGGCTCAGTTTTGGGCTCAACGTTTGTGATGCTGG